CTCACTATTCTGGACACTGCGACCTGGACTGCAAGACCCAAGAGGTGCCCACACCCCAGGCTGGAGGGTTAAATCCGGTGAAGCTGCCTTGGACTCTGTAAGCAGAGAGTAATCCACGAGTCACAAAAGCCCCAATTCTGGTGTGTTGGGGCTCAGCAAACCTCAGACACACCACTGCATAGGGAGATACTGCCTCTGATGCCTTGTCCTACTAGAGGCCTGGATCTGGGAAGCCACAGTCTCTGTGAACAGTCTAAAGAGATCAACATGAGCATCTGGAAAAGACGCAGAAAATCCCACCCTCACCCATGCACAGCTGGATAATATGCCTCTCCTGGGCTTTCATTGGCTAAACCCAGCCATCAATAGGGACATAGCCCTATGGGTAATATACCTTCCCAGGCCTCCCAGGTGTAAATAGGATCCCAGTCACTCACTGACCATTGTGATTATTGGTGTTTGGGAGCCAGAGTGGTGCTGGGATATGACCACATTAGGCTTGTGTGGCTGTTGATAGTTTCTGGGGATTGTTGTCTCCCTATGATTTTTTGTTTGGAGATATTATTTCAGATTCCACGAAACTCAGAGTGCTCCTTGAGGTGAAAGGTATTATTTCAATGATTACTTAATTTGATTTTTGAGAGAGAGGTTGGGACAGGAAAGAGAGAAATATGGATCAGCTGCCTCCTGTCGACCTCTCACCCTCCCACTGGGAATCCAGCCAGAACACCTGGCTTCTGCCCACAAAGAATTGAACCAGAAACCTTTCTGTGCATGGGAAGATGACCAAGTATCTGAGCTATTCCAGCTTCAGTATTTTTATTTTTAATATAAAAATATCACATTATTAAGGACAAATCAGGCTATAACCCAATTTTATTTGTTTAAAAACAAATTTTGAAATGGTACAAAGAACAAAAAGTTGCCACTCCATACATAGTTAGAATGTTTGTAGTCAATAAACCCCATGAGTCTAGGGAGCTAATAACTACTGAATGTTTACTACAGGTGCCAGGCCTGGAATTTAATGCTTTACATGCATTATTATGCCAGTTAGTCCTACAACTTGAGCTTTTATGAAGAGTAAATTGAGGCTCAGAGGCTTTACGTAAATTTCCTGATTGTAGAGTTAAATAAAGGCAGGGCTGGAAGACAACCTAAGTGTTTCTAATAATAGAGCTCGGATTTCTAATGTAAGACCCTCATATTGCATACTCATTAGGACTGGCTAGTGTAAGAACAGTTGGAAGCTGAAAACTAAGACTACAGGCTTAATAAGGGGAAATAGACCTGCAGGGCTGTCTCACAATGGGAGAACAGCAACTCATGCAGAGGTGGGCATTCTTTTGAGGGGCGGAATGGGAAGGAATGGGGGCTTAGTGTACTCAGCTCACGCTGATTGGTAGCTTAAAGTATGGTCCATATAGCAACAAGAGCTTAGGGTATTTGGCAGATGTTGAGTTGTGTTTCAATGTATAGTCCATATAAGGTGCTTGGTTAGGTACTCAGGTATTTCCAGGCCGCAGGTTATGTCACACTCTGCCCACCATTTGGGGAAATGGAGGATCTATCAGCTAGATGTTATAGTACCAAACAGTTCCAAAGCTTCAGTGGCTTATACTAAAGAAGGTATCTTTCTTTTTCATGCCACATGTGCTCCCTGGTTCTCCTGGGACCAGGATAGTGGTGCAGACACCGTGTAGGTAACTGCTAGTTGTTAGTAGCAAGGAACAGAGACACTGTCAGTCTCTGGTTCCAGGCTCTTGTGTTAGTAGGGACAGGATTCATTCCCAACACATTTTGTATGTCAAAAAACATCACAGGTCTATAGCCAAATTCAGATGTTCTGGAGGGGAACCTGACAACTTGATGGACCCTATAAAGGAAATCACAGGGTGCCAATTAATCTGGGGGATTTTCCAGGGCTGAAGGAGAGGAATGGGGATTGTTAGGAAATAACCACGGGGTTCAGTCAGCATGGATTGCTTTTATTTCATCCAGGTGCATTTGTCCCTGTGCTTCCCTAAGCCATCACAGGCAAGATTCAAAGGAGTGAACTTAAAAAAAAAAGAGTTTGGTCAGTGTTCACTGGCAGTAAACTCAGAACCACTTCTGAGTGTGAAGTTGTAAAAATCTCTGACTGCCTCAGTTCCTACACTGTGCTGAGGGTGAAGACACACATGGTAAGAGAGTTGATTTGGAAGGACACAGGACTGCAAACGTTGTAGCATCAATATTCTTTTACATTCACATCAGTCACTACCCTGCCTCTATGTCTCTATCATTTCAATAGCCCTGGTGAGCACTCCCATTGGGGATCATGAGAAAATATGCTGATATTTACATCAATAGTGATCCTGTGGTTTCCATTCATTCTGCTCATGAACTTGTGCTAAATATGGTCCGTCCATAGTTCTCCCTATTTCCATTAAAGAGAGCACTGGGGCTACTTTTTCCTTCTAGTCACGGTGTTCCTGGATGGCCATACACTCCCAGTAGATTACCAGGATACAGAAGTTCTAGAGTGATGCTCTGAGCAGGCCAGGGCACTTTCCCCTATTAAGTGTCAGCCTGGCTTTCCCATAGGCAAGGGTGTGACCTGTTCTCCAGGAACTATGAGACTCACAGGACTGTCCCCATCCACTCCAGGGATGTCCAGTTCCTTATTCCTTAGGGGGAATTATGAACCTAATCTGGAATTTTTATACACAGTGTGTGGGTGGGAAGGCAAAGTCAATGACCATGTAGATCACAGTTCTGCATATATAAAAATGTGAACCATTCACCTGCACTACAACTGTCTAATTAGTAAAAATATATCAATAAAAAGAACAGAACACAAAGTTTCTAACAGATTTATTTATAATACCATAAACCTATAAATAACCAATCTTATAGACATATCAATAGATAAAGTTGTTATGCATATAATGCAATACTACTCAGGAACAAAACAAATTCAATATTAACATAAGCATTTGTGTTGAATCTCAAAATAGCTGTGTAGCATCAAGAAACAGGTATTTGTTAGAGTACACACCTCATAGTGCCTATAAAAGTATGAAGAATATGAACTATTCTACTCTAAAGGAAGAAAAATCAACGATTGCATGTAAGGCTGGGAAATTCATAAACAGATTATAAAAGGGCAGGAGGTAATGCACAGTGTGGGAAATGCAGGTTTAGAGTTGTTGGTGTGGAATATGATAAGTAATAAATAATAACACAGGAATAAATCTGCTCCCAGAAGTGCCTCAGTTGTGTGGGTGTCATCCAGTGCACTGAAATGTCCTGGTTCAATTCCAGGTCAGTGCACAGTCCCACCGGGGTCTCCAGTAGAGGATGTGCAAGAGGGAGCTGGTGTACGTTTATCTTTTTCTCTCTGCCTTCCTCTCTTCCTAAAAAATATAAATGTATTTAAAACTATGTTTTAAAAGAGAAACTCTGTGGTTTGTGTACTCACAACTGTAAGTCTACTTTTGCCACACCTTGTTTATGATTGACAGGATACATGATTTCATATGTGATGGTTTCACAGCTTTATTTCTATGTCAAGGCTCAACAATAGTACACATTAGGAAAGTGCACTTCCTTGGATGTCTGTTCTCATTTCCTGGGAGGAAAAGCTTGGTCGCAGTGACAGCAAATACTGACAAGCAGTGAAGGCGATTGTCATCAGAATCAGCAGAAATGCTGACTGGCTACAAAAGTCACATCCTGGGACTGATCACAGGATTATCCTTCCTCCAGCCTGAGTTCTTACATATTGAGAAATGACCTTGAGGTGAACACCATATAGAGACCAGGGGAATCCACAAAACCATAACGTATCTTCTGTGCCAATGACTTCAGCTACAGGAAAAACTTCTGGAGGTGCTGAGAATGTCTGTACACAAAGTTCACACATGTCACAGTCTCAGGAACATCACTGAATTTGTGTCTAAATTAGACACTTGCCATCTAATTTACTGCAGTCTCTCCCATCCCTATGAATACAGTGTTTCTGTCTCAATTGTAGTTTAACCTCAGAGTCTTACAACAAATGTCACAAGACTATGAAATTTTATATTTCATGGCACAAGGCTCCTTTGCAGTATGTGGGGAGGAGGTCCCCTAAACATTGCTGAGACTTATGGCATTCATACTATGAACAGAGAACAAAATTTACATTGCGAACAGAAGGACAGCAGAGGCCTCCTCTTCTGGGTGACCACTGACCTCACCAATAACCAAGGTACCAGGATGAAAATTAAAAGTACAAAGTCATGCAGTCTTTCTTTCAAGGCCTTGGGCAGCAATGCAAAATAAGCCAGTTTTGGACAAAGATTCATTTTCTGCCATCATGCTCTTCCTTCTGAACCCTAAGGTTTAATGTCCCCACAATATCTGTTCACATCTACATGCTGGCAGATCACAACAGCGCTTTCAAATCATCGTAGGAAGTGAATAGAACGAACACAATGAAAGGTATAACAGAACACCTTTACCAAAATATCATAAACCTGAACCAGAGGTGTTCAGATGGGTGAAATAGAACCTAAGCCAATCATCACAGCATAATGTGAAAACCACAAACTCCCTGAAAGAGGTACCAATATTTTGCTGAGAATGGGTGTTCTGGAAAACCCCTGGGCTAGGCCTCTTCCCTAGTCAGAGAGAAAAGAATGAAGATCCTGCCAAGAGCTCAGAGTATTTAGAATTTGTCCAACTACGAGAGCACGCAGGGATTGTGACTGTTTTACAGTGTTCAGGTGAGCCAGGTGGTGGAGTTGAAATCACTTCAGCCAACAATCACTCACAGTGACATCAATCAGGTTGTTGGCCTGGGAAGGATAGCAGTGCAAGCAGCTCCTTCAAGTCTCACTTGTACCTGAAACTCATGAGGAATCTAGCAGAGTGTATGTCCTGATAAAAAGGGGTTATATTAAGGTAAATGTGTAAAATAGAGTCACCTTCAGTGTTGTTATTCAAGTAAAAAAACTGAAATATTCCCTACACATTTAAGGCTTTTCCTCAGTGTGAAGTCTCAAGTGTCTTATCAGGCTACATTTTTGGCTAAAATATTTCCCACAATCTGTACACTCATAAGGTTTTTCCCCAGTGTGAACTCTTTGATGGCGAATAAGGTTAGACATACAACTGAAACACTTGCCACATTCACTGCACTCATAAGGCTTTTCTCCAGTGTGAACTCGCTGGTGTGTTTTGACAACAGACTTCCATCTGAAGGACTTCCCACAATCACTACATTTATAAGGCTTTTCTCCAGTGTGAATTCTCTGATGTTGAATGAGGGAGGAATTCTGACTAAACGACTTCCCACAATCTGTACACTTACACGGCTTTTCTCCAGTGTGAATTCTCTGATGTTGAATGAGGGAGGAATTCTGACTAAACGACTTCCCACAATCTGTACACTTATACGGCTTTTCTCCAGTGTGAATTCTCTGATGTTGAATGAGGTAAAAACTCTGACTGAAGGACTTTCTACAATATGTACATTTATATGGCTTTTCTCCAGTGTGAATTTTCTGATGTTTAATGAGGTTAGAGTGCTGACAGAAAGACTTCCCACAATCTCTACACTCATATGGCTTTTCTCCAGTGTGAATCCTCTGATGTTGAATGAGGTTAGAGCTATGACTAAAGGACTTCCCACAACATGTACACTCATATGGCTTTTCTCCAGTGTGAACTCGCTGGTGTTTGTTGACATCAGACTTTTGACTGAAAGTTTTCCCACATTCAGTACACTCATACCACTTTTCTCCAGTGTGAACTCTCTTATGTCGAATGAGATTAAAGATTTGTCTAAAATTTTTCCTACATTTGTTACACTCATAAATACGTTCTCCAGAAAATACACCCTGTAATTCAACAACTTTTTGGTTGTGGCTGGCAGCGTTTTCACATTCATGCCCCTGGTGATGACTTTTTCCACTGAAGAATACCTGTGAAACCTCACTGCCACAGTGTGGATCCTCAGTGTTGAGGGTGGCCTGGGGCTGGAGAAGCTCTGAGGGAGCTTGGACGTCTTCTGCAACCTCCCTGCAATTTGAAGGAACCTCTGATAAATAGAAGCTGCAGCTGGTCACAAATGAGGGCCTGTCCATAGCTTCTCTGCAAGATGTCTCTCCACTGGCATCCCTATGTTGATGGTGAGAATTTCCACTGAGACAGAAGTCTGTCACACCTGCCTCACCGAAGAAGACTTTGTGCTCAAAGTATGCTGCTTGTAACTCAGTCAGGTGCAAAATATCTTTTAACACTGAGAAACACTGCTTACACAGATGGGTCTTTTGGGTGGCTGGAGCTCTCCTGGAAAACATGACCTGTGACTCTCCTCCTACAGATACACTCTGCTCAGAACAGGCATCATCATCATACTTTTGATGCCAACAACCTGAAAACAGAAAAATTGTGAGGAAATGAGTGATGACTCTGGTGAAAGGGGGAAGTTCCATTACAAATGTGTGTTGCCTTTTACACCTTGGCTCCGTGAAATTTTGGAAAAGAGAAGATTGCAGGAAGCATTAAGAATAGGCTTATGTGAAGTTCCATGACTCTGAAGATGATAGAGTGTTCATAGGGCTTGTCTGTAGGTGAGATAGGCAAGCTCTGCAGAATTTTGGTTATGTTTTATTTCAAAAAAATTCAATAAATGAATATCTGGTATTGACAACCTACTTAAGTATGTATGTGCACCTCATAACACATGTGCAGGTAAATGTTGAAGAATACTGCAGAGGCATCAGTGAGGAAGAACAGGTGGTGTAAAAATGCCACAAAAGTGAACATATATCGAAGTCAGAAAGACAGATGTGAAAGTATAACTCAGAAAGTGTAAAGTATGCAAAAGAAGAGGTAAAAATGAGGTGTAGGCAGTGGCACCTGCATCTACACACTGATGAAATCATTCTGGTTCCTGGCATAATTTGAGCACAGCTCTTGAGTCATATATTTCACTAGTTGCCAGTCAGCTGGGCCAGGCCTCTTCTGAGAACATCCTGCATGTTCACCTTATGAAAAAAACCCAACAAACTAGGGTTCTCCCTCACCACCTTCTCTACAAATACATAAAACCTAAATATTCCAAGTGTTAATGAAAGATGGCAGAGGTGACCTGCCAGCCTGGTCCAGAGCAATTCCACTTGCAATAGTATTCAGGGAAGGTAATAGTACAAACAACAATAGAAGGAGGGTCTTACAAGAATAGCCCATGGTTCATGTAAGTAAAGACCATAACCTGGCACAGGCAGTCACCCAGGACCTTTATCTAGAGAAGGGTGCAGAGGTGGAAGCCATGGATCTAGATATAGTCAGCCTCCCATGGAGAGAAACAGCAAGTGGGACCCAGTAAGCTGACTGTAAGACTCCTGACTCCCAGGCACATCCTGTACTTTCCGAGTAAAATAGTGTTAAAGAAGCTTGTGGAGTCTATATCTCAGGGCTCTCCACACAGCTCAGCACTGGCATCCATAGCACATTTCACATGAGAGTGAGGAAAGTTTTCAGAGCCCTTGGTCTGGCTGTAGGAGAGAGAAAGCTATAGGTGGAATATAAAGGAAGAGAGGACATCACCTCAGACCATTAGGAGAGATGTGAGGGTCTTACCTACAGATGATCCAAGTGCAAATACTTCCAGCATCACTTCACAGTACAGAAGTCTCTGAGCCTCATCAAGGATTGCCCACTCCTCTGAAGAGAAGGCAATGGCCACATCCTCAAAGTTCATATCCTGTCATAATAGGGACAGTTCAACCTATTATCAGCTTCTCTCCTAAAATTTATATTCATCAGACACCCCAACTTCCATATCCATCTGCTCCCTCTACTTCTGACTCTAGAGAAGAATCAGGCCTTTGTTTCATCAAAGTTACTCTGTCCTTAGATTCCTCTGGTGCTGTGTCTTCCCACAACAATAATGGCAATGAGCATATAGATGAAACCTGTTCTCTAGGACTGACATGTATTCCACACTGCCCCTTGTCAATACAGTGGGTGTCATGAAAATTGGGTATGGATAGATGTCCATAATGAAAGTGTGAGTGATTTAACACTGTTCTTCTTGGCAATAACCTTGTTCCCTGGATTCTTATTCCAAGACCCTGAATATATTGGCATCGCACTTCACCTTTTTGACCCCAATCATAGGGTTCTGTGGCCATCACTTTGCACTGCCTTCTGCACATAAATCTTTAAATCACACTCCTCTCACACAGCTTCATTCCCATAGGCACAATGTCAAAGGTAACACAAGTATGTCATGATTTGGACGATTTTTCTTAATCATCTTCTTTCCCAATACTCCAGTTAACCACTTCAGTAATAAATCTCTCTTACTCTTCACCCATGCCAAAGACAGGCTAGAAGACATGAATGTATGCTATTTCATTACTATTGATCACTGTAACTGCCCCCCACCAGTAAAGGCAGGTGTGCAAATATATTTCACCTAATCTCTGGACCAAGAATGCACCATAATAGACCCACTTTCCTGGAATTAATCTGAAATTCTACATATCATATTATCCAGACATCACCAGAAATGAATTCCACCATCATTCCCTCTTCTGTCAATGTCAGGGCCCTGCAGCCATGAATGCACATGCCCTCTCCATGCACACATCAGGCTTTCTACCATAATTCTCTCCAGCCCCATAATTATCTCCCTGACTTCCTACTCATTACTCAGCAAGTGTTGTTTTGTGAATGCCTGGAAAATTCAAACAGAACTAAGTTCTACATCAACTCTCATAGTCCACACTCATTGAGGGAAGCCTCAAATCCTTCTTTGATAACCTCCCTCCCTGATTGTTGTTTCCTTCAACCTCACCTTCAACCACATCAAATCTCAGATATCCAGAGCTTATCTCTTCGGATGCTGCACTTGATGTCCCTTCACCAGGTTCAGCCTTACTCACTCAAGTCACATTACCTGTGGCCCTCTATCCCATGTCTAGTAAGTCTCATAGATGACCACTGATGCTTCTATGTAAATCAACTAGGACACACCACAGGACACACCAGGGCTCTCAACACAATCCTGCTGTGTGATTCCCAAGAAAACATATAACAGCTGCCATCCTATCTTATTTTAATTGCCCTTAGCTCTCCAATTAAACAGAGAAATGTTCTTTAAAAATAAAGATCTACAACTCCACCCTGGTCACTACACTTCCGACTATCTTTAAAGAAGTGTTCATCCTGAACTACTCCTCAGAATTCCAGATGCTCATGAACTGCTCTCTGAAATATCGCACAACAGAACAGATAAAAAATAAAAGATTGGTATCCCCAATGAACATTATACTTCTACTCTGAATTATCTGCATCTCAGTTGATGGTGCTTCCATACCCCCAGCTACCAAATGCAAACCTTCAAGTCATCCCTGGCTCTTACCTCTCTCTCAACCACAAAATTAGAAAATACAGTTGGCCACACATAAAACACTGATCCAGAATCCAACTGCTTATTTCACCTCCACAGTCACCATCATGAGCCACTTACCATCACACTCACCAAAACTACCACAGCAACCTCCATCCTAGTTTTGCTACCACCTCCCTCACACCCATATTGTTTGTTATGCTTCAGAAACAGGAAGTCTAAAGAGATCTGGGTCAGATGGACTGTCTCTGCTGCTCCACATCTTCCATTGCTCTCATCACCTGCAGAACAGACTACAAAGGTATCACAAAGCTTCTCTAGACCTCACTCTGTTCCCATTTTATTAGGTCGTATTTTAAAAAGTGGACACAATAAAAGTAAATCTCCCTGATGATTTGACTCAGTAGATAGAGCACTGGCCTATGAGGTGAAGGGTCCCAGGTTTGATTGCAGTCAGGGGCACATGCCAGGATTTCCGGCTCGATCTCCAATGTGGGGCATGCAGGAAGCAGCATATCAATGATTCTCTCTGATCATTGATATTTCTATCTCTCCTCCCTTCATCTCTGAAACCAGTAAAAAAACATTTTTAAAGGACAGCAGTTGGTTCCTGAATGAGCTCATTCTTCACTCTAAGGCAGCCTTTGCATATATAGGAATCTATGCCTGCAAGGACCTCTCACATCCGATTCTACTGTTTGCCAAAAACTGGGAAGACTTCATACAATCCTAGACATGTAAGTATAGTTCTGGGCTTGGTGTCTCATCAAGGTCCCAAGACACAAGGGCTAGAAGAGAGGCAAGACAATCCCAGGATACCACTATTTCAGAAGTCATAAGAGTGTGAGTCCCTGATATCAGTTCCACAAACCAGTACCCTTAAACCACTTTACATTTGCAGGAATCTGTGTTAAGAGAAAGATCTGTTGAGACCCTGGATCCATGGGCTCAGACTTCTCAGTACCATTTCCCAGCCAACAGGGCCACGTGTCCTGGAAATGACTACATTACTTCAAGGCTCAAACCTCAGTGCACACTCTTTCCAGTTACCTTATCATTTACAGAACTTCTACTTCCTGTCCCTAACTGCTATCATCTCTCTTCTAGTCTGTTCTTCTTCTGAGCTGCTTTGGGGAAAGTTTAAAAAACTACCTCACACAATGTCCCTCTTTTTGTCAGTACCATCCATGGCCCAGTATCTTGAGAATGAAAGTAAAACTCCTCATGCAAAACTTTCCCTCATCTTCTTTGTTACCTGTAGACACAGAACAGGTCATGGGTTTCCCAAATCCTCCTGGGTCAGTCACACCACCACACCCTTACATGTAGGTATTGCAGCCTGTTAACCTCTTTCTCCATCACACCTTTTGTCACACATGAGCTACTCACTGTTCTGGGAACTGTGACCTGGACTGCAGGACCCAAGACGTGCCCACACCACAGGCTGGAGGGTTAAATCCGGTGAAGCTGCCTTGGACTCTGTAAGCAGAGAGTAATCCACGAGTCACAAAAGCCCCAATTCTGGTGTGTTGGGACTCCACAAACCTCAGACACACCACTGCATAGGGAGATACTGCCTCTGATGAGACCTGGATCTGGGAAGCCAGAGTCTCTGTGAACAGACCAAAAGATCAACATAACCATCTGGTAAAGACGGAGGAAGTCCCACTCTGATCCACGTACAGCTGGATAATATGCCTCTCCTGGGCTTTCATTGGCTAAACCCAGCCATCATTAGGGACATAGCCCTATGGGTAATATACCTTCCAGGCCTCCCAGGTGTAAATAGGATCCCAGTCACTCACTGACCATTGTGAATATTGGTGTTTGGGAGCCAGAGTGGTGCTGGGAAATGGCAACATTAGGCTTGTGTGGCTATTGGTGGTTTCTGGGGATTGTTGTCTCCATCTGTTTTTTTGTTTGGAGATATAATTTCAGATTCCACGAAACTCAGAATGCTCCTCGAGGTGAAAAGTATTATTTCAATGATTACTTAATTTGATTTTTGAGAGAGAGGTTGGGACAGGAAAGTGAGAAATATGGATCAGCTGCCTCCCATCGACCTCTCACCCTCCCACTGGGAATCCAGCCAGAAAACCTGGCTTTTGCCTCACAAACAATTGAACCAGAAACCTTTCTGAGCACGGGAAGATGACCAAGTATCTGAGCTATTCCAGCTGTCAGTATTTTTTATTTTTAATACAAAAAATATCACATTATTAAGAGACAAATCATGCTATAAGAGAACATATATAATCTAATTTTGTTTAAAAACAAAATTTGAAATGGTACAAAGAACAAAAAGTTGCCATTCCATACATAGTTAGAGAATGTTTGTAGTCAATAAACCTTATGAATCTAGGGAGCTAATAGCTACCAAATGTTGACTACAGGTGCCAGGCCTGGAATCCAATGGTTCACATGCATTATTACGTCATTTAGTCCTCTCTACAACCTGAGATTTTATGAAGAGTAAATTGAGGCTCAGAGGCTTTATGTAAATTTCCTGATTGTAGAGTTAAATAAAGGCAGGGCTGGAAGGCAACCCAAGTGTTTCTAATAATAGAGCTCGGACTTCTAATGTTTGGCTCTCATGCCTTCTGGAGAGGAGAATTGCATACTCATTAGGACTGGCTAGTGTAAGAACAGTCGGGAGCCAAAACCCAGGACTACAGGTTTTATTAGGGGAAAGTGACCTGCCGGGCTGTCTCGCAATGGAAGAACAGCAACACATGCAGAGGTGGGCACTCCGTTTGAGGGGCGGAATGGGAAGGAATGGGGGCTTAGTGTACTCGGCTCATGCTGATTGGTGGCTTAATGTATGGTCCATATAGGAACAAGAGCTTAGGTTATTTTGCAGATGTTGAGTGGTGGTTCAATGTATAGTCCATATAAGGTGCTTGGTTAGGTACTCAGGTATTTCCAGGCCGCAGGTTATGTCATACTCTGCCCACCAGTTGGGGAAAGGGAGGATCTATCAGCTAGATGTTATAGTACCAAACAGCTCCAAAGCTTCAGTGGCTTATACTAAAGAAGGTATCTTTCTTTTTCATGCCACATGTGCTCCCTGGATCTCCAGGGACCAGGATGGTGGTACAGACACTGTGTAGGTAACTGCTAGGTGTTAATAGCATTGAACATAGAGACTGTCAGTCTCTGGTTCCAGACTCTTGTGTTAGTAGGGACAGGTTTCACTCCCAACACATTTTATAGGTCAAAGCACATCAAAGGGCTATAGCCAAATTCAGAGGTTCTGGAGCGGAACCTTACAAACTTGATGGGCCCTAAGAAGGACATCACAGGGTGCCAATCAATCTGGGGGATTTTGCAGGGGTGAAGGTGAG